GAATACGAACATGTTCTTGCATGAGGCCCAATGTGACCATTTCACCTGCTGTTTTCTAATTTTGCTCATAACTTCCTCAGTGTTCAAGATATCGCCATGAAATTTTAGGAAAAGATTCCCATTCTGGTTTTGTAGGAAGCCTCTTGTATTCTAAAAAACTAAAAACTTAATAATAGCCAATTCAAAAGTAGCAGAAAAGGTGTAAAATAACATTACAAGGCAAACTGTAGCATCAAAGCAACTTAATGTCTTAGAATGTAAGGAAATTCAAACATTTTAAAAACCATGTGGACATCTGTTTTGTAAACAAAGCTCCTCAACCAATGACAGCGTSTTAAATGTGTCAGGTGACGAAGACGAGCATCAAAACACTTTGCAACAAGCGCTACTCCGGATTAAAATAAACATACTTCAACGTTTCAAATCATTATCAAATTTGGAACAAGGGCAGATAAAATAAATGTTCTTCATGGCAGCTTATCTCTTTAAGGGGTCACTAGAAAAACTCGGGTGATTTACTTTGATCCTCTTTTCAAAAAAAGTGTCTCTTCAAAACGCATCAACAAATTAAAAGCTCGAAGACGAGGCTGTAGCTAACTACCTGACGGCAGCCCGATTTGTTGAAATTCATAGAAATAACGAAGCAGGAGGAAATTACAAGCAAACGCACCGAGCAGCCTTACAAAATCTGGTCACTGCAGTTTGGGAAGAAAATGGCAGCAGCTGCTGACGAAATGTCAACATCCCTACTTAGTTAGCTGGGGTGGTAATCTTGAATTTGGCTGATTATTTTTGGCTACTTCTACAATCTTCCATTTTGTATGTCTAAAAATGGCTGAATTATAGCTTTTTGTAAAATTAGCATTACTGGTCAGCTTAATTTGGTATTAGCATCGACAAGTTTATTGGCTATTAAGTCTTAAAATAGCAGAATTATAGTTAGCTGTGGTAATCTTGAATTTGGTTAAGATTATTTTTGGCTACTTCTACACTGATCTTCAGTTTTGTATGTCTAAAAATGGCTGAATAGGAGGTTAAGTAGCTTTTAGCATGTTTTTCTGCTCCTTTGCTCTGACCACAAATTTCTATTTTAAAACTGCTGAAAAAGTAATTTTGAAATATGGTGGCCGTTTGAATTTTCAAATCGAGTGCTTTTGTTTGTGTCCCCCCCAGCACAAAAGTCTAGCTCCGCCCCTGCTGACGGTCTAAAATGATTTTCTCAGATTAGACCACAAGAACCTGTAATACTCCTCTCTGCAGGTTACCGATGCCATCATCCGAACTGTCAGGTGCTGGAGCACACCTGGAGCAAGCTTCAGAAGCACATGACCAAACATGCAGGTAAATGTTTGCACCTCACGGTGTGAAACGTTCCAAATATCTTCGGTTTTAGCTGATGCAGATCTTTATTGTTTCAGCCACGTTCACGTGCGCGGTATGTAAGAAGGTGTTCAAGAAGGCRGACGCTCTCCGGCAGCACAAACGGAAACACGCGTCCCTGAAGCCCGTGCTGATGTGCCCCCGAGACGAGTGCCAGGCCTATTTCTCCACGACCTTTAACCTGGAGCACCACATCCGCAAAGTTCACCTGCAGCTCCTCAAGTACAAATGCTCCTTCCCCGGCTGCCCACGCACGTTTGCAATGCGGGTGAGTAAAAACGCGCAAGTTAAAGTAACTTAAAAAGCACGACTGATTATAAACATTTGAATTTACAGGAGAGCATGGACAGACACCTCCTTCGCCATGATCCAAGTGCCGCAGCTCTGAGGGTAAATCCACACGAATCTAAAGAAATCTGATTTCTTTAAACCTGCTGAGATTCTCTCTGCGTGTTTTCCAGAAACGCAGGAAGCCCAAGAAACCCTGGCAGAAGCGTCTGAATGGAAGCCAGCAGCCGTCTGTGGAGGAGAACCTGCGCCGCCTCTTCACGCTGCGCATGTGCGTCTCCAGACGCTCCAAAGTGGAGGCCGACCTGTCGGGCCTCTTCAACGAGAGGAAGATCCCGCACCAYGTGGACCCCGAGGTCAACCTGCGGGACCTGTTCAAGGTGAAGCAGAGCCGTCCTGTGGAGGCTCCCGAGGCTGCGCCGGTGACCAGCTGAACATCTGCAGGAGAAATGGTTTTCATATCAGAATTGGGTCTTTTTAGTTCCAGAGCAGTTTTTTTGTTCATGTGATTCAACGTGGTTGTAAATTTAATCAAAGTGATTTTATTTTATGTRTCGACCCAATAAAATGAGTTCAGTTTTGCTCAGTTGCACTTGTCTGTTCTGGTGTCGAGCTGATTATTCAGGCTGATTTTTCTGCTGCTGGCCCACTCAAACAGCTGCTCTCCTCTCTGCTTTGGCTGCATGAATTGGTTGACATTTGCTGAACATGTTGGAGCTCATTAACTATGAACAAAGAGCTGCACATGACTTAAAAGCTGAATCAGATGAAACTTTAGGGGCTGGCTGAGGCTTTAAAGGGATCCCTGATAAGTTGTAACATTGGACTTTATTTGACAAACATTTAACTGTAAAATAAAGACTAAAAATACTGTAGGCTGCTTAGTTAACTAAATTTTTAAAAATATATTTTATCACTGACGGAGCCATTTTATTTACACACAAAGCATTCTGGGTAAATGACGTGGATAGGTCCTCAGTGTGAGCG